TGCAGGACACCGGCCCTCCAGGACCGAGTTTGGACAGCCCTGGTCTAGATAATCATTATTTTAAAGCTTCAAAAATACAGAGTTATTGTAGAAGTAATCCATGCCAATATTTATATATGAATAAATCTTAAATTATATCATAGCGAACATGTCTGTTCAGAAGAAAATACTGGTCTCCCAGACTTGCAATAGAGGACAAAAATTAAGAGAATATTAAATATATTTATTTGTGTTCCAAAAATTAGCAGAGTTTGTATGGGTTTGGAACAACACAGGGGTGAATAAATTATGACAATTTTCATTTTTTGGTGAACTAACCCTTTAAAGAGCAGCCCTCCACGTACATGAAAATTTGTGAGGTATGTGAATGTCATGTCTGTTTTAATGTTTCAGTAAAGAAGTAGCTTTCTGAAAGCAATATATTTATTTAAACAATATTACATGCCCTCACACTAGTGCTGCCATTACAGAGACATTAAACAACCACACAAAGTGGTTGAAATTATAAAACAGACTATTTACCTATCCTTACTGATGTGGATGCACCTCTATCTGAAAATGGATAGATTTTAATTAAATGTTTTCTTTTTTCAAATTATTTTCTCTTTTTAGGCCACTGATGAAGAACAGGTGGTGACTGGGATGAATGCTGGTCAAAGAGGAGAATGTCCTTTCCCCCAAACTGATGCAACAGTGGTTTTAAAGGAGGAGGCTGCCCTGGATGATGTAAAAGATGTCACATGCCTTTGCTGTGCTGATGGGGCTTCTTCATGACTACATCAATTATGCTAAAGAGATCATGAAAATTGGCAGCGATGCCTGATCTGTATTCATGGACTATGAAACAAACTTTAAGTGTATAATTTGTAAAAACAAAATGTTAAATGCTTGTTCTGTGTTGTTGTTTAGTAGAAATGGAGTTTACACTCATTCATACACATGTTCACATTCTTTCACACATATGTTTCTGATAAATCTTATAATATCAGTGTTAATGTTGTGGTTTATTTACGGTCATGCCAGAATAGTTTGTAAAGTACTTAACTATTAACTAATTGTAGAACTATTGTATAATAGTGTTTTTGTATAATATTTTTATACAATATATAAAATTGACCCAAAAAAAGTCATAAACCATAAAAAAGCAACCCAGCATGCTGGGTCAAACATAATAACCCAACTTGTTGGGTTAAAACAACTCAGCGCTGGGTTCGTCCCTTTTTGACCCAGCGCTGGGTTGCCAAAATAACCCAAATTGGGTTGTTTTTAACCCAGCCGTTTTTAGAGTGTGTAGGTTCAAAGTCCAGAAGTGATAATCATTTACAATCATCATACATGAATAAACATGAAGATTAAGGCCTGTTTCACACTGCAAGCGTATGTATCGTAAACGTGAAACTGACACAGACAGAGCTTCACACTGACAGTGTTTCTGTGTTCTGTGTAATTAAGCTATGGCTTTACACAAAAAATAAACAGACTATTGAAATCACTGCACTGAGTATTAACTTAATCTCTAGTTTTAAATACCTGTTTCTCTGTCCTCTGGTCTGCAGCTGAAACAATGTCATGGTTTTTATGTTCATTAATTGTACACAGCACACATATACATTTCTGGTCAGTGCGACAGAAAACCTCGAGGATCTTCTCATGTTTCTGGCAGATCATCTCCTGCCATCGTCCAGTGGCATCAGTCAAATTGTGTCTCTTTCCTTTAAACCAACTCTCATGTTGCTCGATGTGATTCTGACAGTAAGAGTTCAGACACACCAGACAGGACTTGACGGCTTTGTATTTTCTTCCAGTACAGACGTCACACTAACTGTGTCCACAGGGAATGGCCACTGGATCCTTCAGGAGATCCTGACACACTGGACACAAGAACTCATCCTGAGAAACTCTGGCTTCTGCCATTTTACTGCATGAATACAGAGACACAGACACACAACAGCTCAACAACACTTTAGTTTCTTTTCCCCTGAACTGATGAGTTGAAATAGTTTATTTTCCCCTGAACTGATGAGTTGAAATAGTTTCCTGGTTCTGTTTGAGTGAAATATGTAAAACAGGTCTGTAAGACTGTAAAGAAAGTTCCTTGTTCCTGCTCATGTAGAGTCTCTCTCTCTCTCTCTCTCTCTCTCACACACACACACACACACACTCTCTCTCTCACACACACACACACACAACACAAACACATTCTTGCATATGTGGATTATGGGGAATTTCCATAGGCGTAATGGATTTTATACTGTACAAACTATATTTGCTATCCCCTTACCCTAACCCTCACACAAAACTACAGCCATTTTTAGATTTTCAAAGGGGAAAAAAAACATAGTTTACTATGTTTTTAAGCCATTTGGTTTACAAGGACACGGGAAGTGTAAACCTTATAAACCATGTTCATGTTGTAATACCCATGTGATTATGCACATTTGTCCTCATAAATCATATAAACCTGTACGCACACTCACACAGTGTGACAGTGAAATGCAGTGCATGGTGAGGAAGATTAGAAGTTATCTTCAAGGAACTGTCAGCAACCAAGATCTTGATTGCCACCCTGTCCGAACTACGACTAATAAGAAGTGGAGCTCAAACCGTTCAAGACCCAACAACCAAAAAGATATTGACGAATATTTGGCTGTCTTGGATTACTTCCTAATCAACCACCGATTTCGATCGTAGCTCAAGGATATGTTCTGACCATTATCTTGTCTGAGGCAAATTGCAGCTTCGACTACAGCGGGCCAGGAAGAAAGTGATGTCACCGGTGAAGCTGGACTGAACAACTCTGTGATCAGGGACCAATTCCGACTGGCCCTTACCAACAAGTTTGCGGTTCTCGCGAGCTTAGATGACATTGATGAAGAAGAAACAAAAATCACCACAGCCATCGTGGAATGTGCCACGCGGCCTGCAGTGGTGGCGGGAGCATTTTCAGCAGCTAGCTACTAGTTCTACAAGGAATCGCTGATCCAAGAGAAGATGATCACCTCGACCACCGAATTTCATAGCCGAATTGGCCAGACAACAGCGTCTTTTGCCTCATTGTTTGTGAAAGAAGGCCAACATCACTACTGCAACTATGATATGACTCTTCTGAATCTTGATAATACCTATTGTTTTATATGGATCAGAAACCTGGACCAAGAAGCTTGAGGTCTTCCGAATTCAATGCTTCTACAAGACCTCGGCATCTCCTGGTGCGACCGACTCTGGAATGAGTGTATCCAAAAAAGAGTGCGGCGACCAGCTTGCAATTGAAGAGGCTATTCAGATGCGACATCTGCAGTGGTTTGGACACGTCTGCCAGATGAGTAATGACCGACTTCAGATGAATTGAGAACATCTTTAAATTACAATACAATTAATTAATTTGAATGGGAGCAAACGTGATACAAACATGTAGTTTGAATAATGTTAGAAAGTAGAATTGAAGCAATTTTTAACTAGAAAAATTATGTTTATCAAAAGATACTAGAACCATCGACAGATGAGGTGCGAGCTGCTGTACGATCACTGAAGAATGGAAAGGTACCATTATATTATAAAGGTATTATAAAGAAAGGTATATAATAGTACGACCGCAGCAAACAAAAATATTTCGTAATCAGTGGAAACCGTTACAGAGTTTTTTATCGCAATAAGCGTTTGTGTTCAGTCAATAAAAACCAAACGTCTTAATTTGTTTGAGAATGAAGAAAGACCGTTCAATTAATAGGCTCCAGCGTCATGGCCACATTACCGGTTCGCGAGTGCTTTATTTCTCTAATAATTTTAACGACCTGGAGTCACAACCACACATCAAGACATTGTTATGATGATTTATTTCAAATCATTTGTCATGTTTACCTGAATTAATTAATTTGAATGGGAGCAAACGTGATACAAACATGTAGTTTGAATAATGTTAGAAAGTAGAATTGAAGCAATTTTTAACTAGAAAAATTATGTTTATCAAAAGATACTAGAACCATCGACAGATGAGGTGCGAGCTGCTGTACGATCACTGAAGAATGGAAAGGTACCATTATATTATAAAGGTATTATAAAGAAAGGTATATAATAGTACGACCCCAGCAAACAAAAATATTTCGTAATCAGTGGAAACCGTTACAGAGTTTTTTATCGCAATAAGCGTTTGTGTTCAGTCAATAAAAACCAAACGTCTTAATTTGTTTGAGAATGAAGAAAGACCGTTCAATTAATAGGCTCCAGCGTCATGGCCACATTACCGGTTCGCGAGTGCTTTATTTCTCTAATAATTTTAACGACCTGGAGTCACAACCACACATCAAGACATTGTTATGATGATTTATTTCTGATGAAAACTGGCTTTCAACTGAGGGGGGCCTTTAATCAGTCTTTGCCCAGGGCACCGCTGCATCATAATCAGTGAAGCACGGTTCTTTGATCAGTAGTAAACCTCCTTTCGAAGGCCAGAGGGCGCTCTCGCACAGAAACTCCAAATACACCCCGCGGAAGAAACCCAGGAAATCCCTATTGCTGCAGCTAAATAAACAGAAGAATTAACTGCTGTCATTGATTCAACGTGACTAATAAACACACAACTATGACAATATATGGTTTATCTGAGTTCTTATTATAATTATTTTTATACTTTTCCTTATAATAAAGTATATAATAATGCAATGCTAATCGACATAGCCTTAAAATACTATGAAATATGTTGCGTGCCTTATTCTCTGTAAGAAGCCACATCATCTATTCAGTTCAATTCAATTCAAGTTTATTTGTATAGCGCTTTTCACAATACAAATAGTTACAAAGCAACTTTAAAGAAAATTAAGTTTCTACTATATATTTAGCTTAAAAATACTATGAAATATGTTGCGTGCCTTATTCTCTGTAAGAAGCCACATCATCTATTCAGTTCAATTCAATTCAAGTTTATTTGTATAGCGCTTTTCACAATACAAATAGTTACAAAGCAACTTTAAAGAAAATTAAGTTTCTACTATATATTTAGCTTATCAGTGGTGACTGTCAGTTAATGTACGTATGGCAGAAATGTACGGAAAAATCAATTAAAGACGTAATCAAACAGACAATGAACACTATTAACAGCAATTATTATATGATGCAATCAAACTTATAGCAAAATGTGGTAGTTCTGTATGTTGTTTCAGGGTTGGCATCATATCCTAGGTACTACCAAAAGTCCAGAGTTTTGCGACCTTCGGGATTGTAGCGTGGTAGAAGACTAGTTAGGTACGCAGAAGCTAACCCATTAAGGGCCTTATAGTTAAGTAACACTATTTTGTAACTGATACGGAACTTAATAGGTAGCCAGTGCAGAGACTGTAAAATTGGGGTAATATGATCATATTTTCTTGACCTGGTAAGGACTATAGCCGCTGCATTTTGGACTACCTGTAGCTTGTTTATTGAAGCTGCAGAACAACCACCTAGCAGCAGTGCATTACAATAGTCCAGTCTAGAGATCATGAATGCATGAACTAGCTTTTCTGCATCAGAAACAAGTAACATGTTTTGCGACCTTAGGGAGCGTGATGGATTGTAGCGTGGTAGAAGACTAGTTAGGTACGCAGGAGCTAACCCATTAAGGGCCTTATAGGCAAGTAATATTATTTTGTAACTGATACGGAACGAACTTAATGGGTAGCCAGTGCAGAGACTGTAAAATTGGGGTAATATGATCATATTTTCTTGACCTGGTAAGGACTCTAGCCGCTGCATTTTGGACTACCTGTAGCTTGTTTATTGAAGATGCAGGACAACCACCTAGCAGTGCATTACAATAGTCCAGTCTAGATGTCATGAATGCATGAACTAGCTTTTCTGCATCAGAAACAGGTAACATGTTTCGTAGCTTGGCAATGTTTCTAAGATGGAAGAATGCTGTTTTTGTAACATGGGAAATATGATTTTCAAAAGACAAGTTGCTATCTAATATAACACCCAGATTTTATATTGTAGAGGAAGTAACAGTACATCCGTCTAGTTTCAAATTGTAATCCAAGAGATTCTGTGTACTGTTTTTTGTCCAATAAGTAATATCTCTGTCTTATCCAAATTTAATAGGAGAAAATTATTGGTCATCCAATTTTTTTTTTACATTTTTAACACACTCTGTTAGCTTAGATAATAATTGAGATGTATAGTTGAGTATCATCAGCATAACAATGGAAACTAATCCCGTATTTTCTAATAATATTACCAAGGGGCAACATGTAGATTGAAAATAGCAGAGGACATAGGACAGATCCTTGTGGCACTCCATACTTTACTGGTGATAATTGAGATGATTCCCCGTTTAAATAAACTAAGTGGTAGCGATTGGACAGGTAGGATCGAAACCATTTTAAAGCCTGCCCTTGAATACCTGTATAGTTTTGTAATCGATCTATGAGTATGTCATGAGCTATAGTGTCGAACGCAGCACTAAGATCAAGTAAAACGACTAAAAATAAATCTGTTCCATCTTTATTTGACCCTCTAACTCTAGCACTTTCTATTCTATTTTAATTCTACTTTATCTATTTATTATCTTTTTTATAAAAAAAAAAAACAGCAGCTTTCTATTTTTTCTATTCTATCTACTTGTTTTTCTTTATGTGTGTGTGTGTATGTGTGTGTGTATATGTGTGTGTATTATATATAGTTCGGGGAGCCATGGCGGAGCAGACAGTTCAGGAGGCCATGGCGGAACAGGGAGCTCGGGGAGCCATGGCGGAGCAGACAGCCTCGGCACTCGGCCTGGCCTCCACGGACGGATCCCTACTCCCCCCCCAAAAAAAAAATTAGAGGCCCTCCGTAGGCCTAAGTCGGGAACTGTGGCCCTCCCTGGGCTTGACTTGGGGACTGGAGCCCTCCTTGGGCTGGATGTGGGAAGAGGAGCCCTTCCGGTGCTAGACTCGGGGACT